AATCACTGTGAAACCCATATAATACCAAACCTTGTCTCTCACTAAAAGGAGTCACTGCTTCTGCTTTACCAATTACAGTTTTACCTCTGCTCAGGTTGGCCCTCCTTTGCAGATAAACCATTGAGACACTCACTCCCTCATAGATTTGCCCCCACTTTCTGATAGCATCCAATCTAGAGTGAAGTCCCACTTCCTTAGGCTCTGCCTCAAATCACCCAACCAAAGTCTAAATCCTATAACAGGTTCTTTCTAACAGTTTGTTAATGAGAGTGTTGTGTGTTCTCTCGGGCTGGAACGAGTCATAAATCCAATCTGTACAACTACACAAATGTGTTCCTGGTAGATTTTGGCTGGAGAGTATTGACATCATTCTCGTCTCCATTTCTGGTTGAATCCTGTTCTTTATCATTGCCAGCCTTTCATGTTGCAACAACAGCACCCTGTGTGTTTTCCCATGTTCGAGGGTTCTTCCTCTTTGATTCCTGCCATGAGATTGCCTCATGAGCTGTCCACTGTCCATCAGGCTGGCCTCCTTGCTCTGCCTGTGTCTTCTAGCCATATTGATCACACCATGCTCATTTCCATGCCTCTTCTTCCCACCATGGAAATGTATATGGCCCCATTTATTAGTTATCTCTTCTCTGGCACTTTCCCTCTTGTCCTCTGGTAGCATCAGTCCCCAAGCACTGATGGAGGGCAAAGGGAAGAAGGCTAGAGAGATATAAATATATTTAGAGGTATGCACAAAGTGAGCATTCCATCCCTTTTCAATGTTTTTATATCTGAAACCATGAGAAAAAAAGGTAACCATGTGATGTGATGAATGTGTTAACTAAACTTATTGTGGTAAACTTTTCTCAATATATATGTAGTCAAGTCATCATGTTTGATACCTTAAACTCCCATGTTGGCTGGAGACCGACTGCCTCAGCCGGGAAAGAGCACAATGATTGCAATATGGGCCAGTGAAGCGACATCCTCCACAACTAGGCTGAAGAACAAAAGGACAGCAACTTGTCTGTTCCCCTCCCCCAATTCCCCAATAAAATCTTTAAAAAACAAAGTAATCATTACAGTCCCCCTCTCCAAGTTTATCCATCATAGGGTGAAATATTTATCCACAGCATTATTCCTTAGGTCACTGGGAAACTGATAAAACATGATGAAGATCCCTCTAGCTTTAATGAAGTAAGAGATGCCTGTGTTTTTGACTAGTGGGAAAGGCCATGAATGGAATTAATTAACATATGTATCTCTTGGGCAAAGAAAGTAAGGCTGACTGGAGACCACCACATTTGACATGTTAGAAGCACATATCTCTCCAGTTGTGGTTTATTGGCAGGATTTTCTTATTAGCATTCATTGCTATTTCAAGGCTTTGGATGAGCAGCTCCTCACTGTCTAATTTAATTGGAAACCCCTGGGCTACTGTGGCAAATCTGTTTCTCTGCCTTTCGGGGCTTCCCAGTGCTGCCTGCATGGCTTGGAGCAAATTATGTAACATTCTGTATCTCAGCTTTCCTATTACCAAAAAGTCTTCCAAACCCAGCATTCAGTGATTCTATTCTGTTCTAACCTGAACCTAACTTACCCATCCAACTTTCCCCCCATGATTTTTCAACTCTCTGCTTCTTATAACCTAGATCCCATCTTTCTCTTTGCAATTATACACTAACCTCCCCCATAATCTCGGCTGATGTGGTTTTCTACAACTTAGATAACTTTTCCTCCATCTGTCACATCTACTTTTCAAATACAACTTGCAATATCTTTAATATACACAGAGCTTTGACAAATCGATATCAAATAAATGGACCTGCTGTATAATACGGCCAAACGATGGGAACATGCAGTTCACAAAAAGAGGCTGAAATGGCCAGTGAACATAACACAATATGTTCAGCATCACTAAATAAAAAAAGAAATAAGAATGAATATTAAATGTCAATTTGACTTTCAGATAGGCAAAAATTCCAATGAATACAAACCAGGATATAATTTGGAAGCGTCTCATAGGAGGCTATTTTCCCAGGGCTGCAATAACGAAGTACCACAAATTGGGTAGCTTGAAATAACAGAGATTTATTATCTTACAATTCTGGAGATAGAAGTCCAAAATCAAGGCATCAGCACAGCCATTCTCCCTCTGAAGCCTTTAGGGGACGATTCTTCTGTTGATGGCTGTCCATTCTTGGTGTTCTTGGCTTGCAGCTGCATTGCTTCATTCCCTGTCTCTGTCATCACATGACGTTCTCACATTCTCCCTGTGTGACTGTGTCTGGATTTCCCTCTTATAAGGACACCAGCCATGTTGGATTAGAGCGCACCCTAATGACCTCATCTTTACTGGTTACACTACAAAGACGATTTCTAAATAATGTCACACTCACAGGGACTGGGTGTTAGGATTTCAACATATCTTTTTAGGCGACAGAATTCAACCCATAACAGTGGCCATGAAAAGGTATAAGCCAAGATACTAACACATAACAACAAAGAACAAAGGAGAAAAGGGCCATTTCAGTGGAAGCGGCAGGCACAGAGAACTAACAGGGGCCAGACAACACATTCCAATTTATGCGAAGATGCTATATAGCTTCCAAAAGTAGATGAAATTTAGAAAGGAAGGAGAAGGCTGAGCATTAAACTAGAAGTTAAACTGAGTTAATTTCAATGGACAGGGTTAAGTTTGCTGATAGCAAGAGGAAGTGGGGGCAGGAAAATTCAATTCAGATATATATACGTGAAAGACTCATATTTTCACACTGCTTGGGTAATAGAAATCTATAGCTATTTAACAGACTAAGTGGAAATATAGCAGTTTATAAACAGGCAGGTCAGAGACCAATACAATCACTGTATGTATTAGATTGACTCTTATGAAATTGACAATATTTGACCATTTAATTTATTAAAATGGCAACTTGATGTGCATTAACCCAATATACATGGAAGAGAGACTTGCTAACCTCATTAAACAGACCCCGAGTCATTGATTTTACCACATATACTTATGGGAAAGCTCAGCACATGTTAAAAAGTCCAAACCTCCATTCTACTGTTTTGTTTTGTTTTAAGATTTTATTGGGGAACTGGGGGAGGGGAACAGACAAGTTGCTGTCCTTTTGTTCTTCAGTCTAGTTGTGGAGGACGTCACTTCATTGGTCAATGTTGATATTGTGATCATTGTGCTCTTCCTGGGTGAGGCAGTCACTCACTGGCCATTGGACAGCTGCTCACAGCAGCTCATGAAAGCTCACACCTGCTGCCGGCCAGCCCCACTGCAGTCTACACTGTCCCCGGCGACTCATGGCAGCCCAGCTCCAGGTCGAGCTGTTGTTCACCATCTTAGCTGTAGAGGGCAGTGTCACTGGCCCTCATGTGGATTCCAAACTGGGGCCCTGGTGCTCAGAGCTGGCGTCCCAAGCCAACTCTTAACCAACACACCATTCAGCTGGCTCCATTCGACTCTTTTCAAATGTCTTACTATCTCTACACAGCTAGCTAGACAGTGGCAAGATTTTAGATTTGAATTTGGAGGAAAATGGAAAGATTGTTTATGTATTTTACGTTTAATCCTAAGTCTTGGGTCTAACACAGATTTCCTTGGAGAATCCTGGTTGGAGATTATGCCCAGGAAGTAACTACCCTGTCTCAGCCACATGGGAAAATGACTGATAAGTTTCTCATCAATGGATACATATTGTCTATGAGATATAGTCACAGCTCTAACAGGTGGCTTATAAAGCCACATGCACTCCAGCATCTTCCCACCACTCCCAATCCCGCTGTGGCAGAGATTGTTATTGACCTACACAGACTAGTCCTGTTTTCCAGAATGTAGGGTTGTTCTGGAAAATGGACCCAGCAAGTCACATTGCTCAATTAATCTAAAATGGGGCCTTGTAACTATTTCCGGCCAGTGAAATATCAGTAGGAATCACGTGTGACACTTCAGCATAGAGGGAACTAATATCATTCTTTCTCTCTTTCTCCAGTTTGCTAATTAGATGTCCCTTGAAGTCACAAAGTAAATCAGACTGGGGCCCCAAGTCATCATTTGGAGGAAAGCCACCCTGAGGGTCACCAGACTAAGAACCTTTTCACTGGACTAGGCACGAGTGAGAAATAAACTTCGATTTTGTGGAGCCACAGAGATATGGAGCTGTTACAGCAGCACAGCCTCACCCACCTTAATGTCGCCTACATTTCACCATTCTGAATCCCTGTCTGTTCCCTCAACTCATCAAGTTGTTTCACTTGGCCTGGCCTTGCAATCTCGGCTCTCTCTACCTAAAACACCTCCTTCTTTTTCAACCTGGTGAACTGCCAAGATTCAGATCAAGTGACATTTGTTCAGAGTTCTTCTCTGACTTCTTCAAGCTACTCCTTCTATCCTACCCTCACTGTGCCAAAGCCTATGTCAAATCCTGTTGACATAGTTATCTTCTCAAAAGAATGTGAACTCTTTAAAGGCAGGCACTCAAGCTTATTCTTTACGTTGACAGCATCTAAAATAGTGTTTGGCATATAGTCATCCCTCCATACATGAATATTGGATTAGTCTAAGTGAATTGAGGGTGTGAGGGTTCTCTGATTGCATCCCTTTGTCAGTTGACTGCGGGGGTGGGTTTAGTTGGTCTGAATGCGATCAGAGAGCTTGCCTTGCTGCAGGTCAGTCCTGGTGGAGCTGTGCTGCCCTTGAGATCAATAAAGCCCTTAAAGAGAATGCACCGGTAGAGAAGTGGGCCCTTAGAATTTACCTGTGGCTACTCACTGAAGGCTAAAAGGAAAGAAAACTTTTTCATTTTCAGAATGTGTGTTTTTAATGGCTGCAGACCACGTTGAGTATGTGCTTAGCTTGAAAGACAGTGTAAATGTAGACATGCCTCAGAGATCGGCCGGAGAACATTTTTGAGTTCCTGTGCTTCTCTGTAAAATTTGGAATTTTTTTTCTTTTGGAGAGAACAATGAGGGGATAAAAAAAAAGCAAGTGCAAATGAAATGGAAAGTGCTTTTAATAAGAATATTTTATTGTCTCTGCCTGAGTTTCTAACAAAGCGTATAAAGTGAAAACACTGCTTTAATACAAATGGAATACTGTTGGTTACATGAAATCCTGTTTCTCCTCCTTCAAACTGACCGAAGGTGGGGTCGCTTATTCTTTGGGGGTGCTAACAAGGGCTGTGGTGGAGTAAGAGAAGGGACTGAGCAGAGCTGCGATGGTGTACTTGCGTTGGCCAGAGTCATTCGCTGTGAACACCACCTACAAGAGAACACAGACAGGATCCGTTTCTAACAGAGCCCAACAACGTGAGTCATGGACAGAGAGACCACTGGAAGTCTTGCACTAACGTAATTTTTTGTATTTCATTGTTTTGTTTTTTTGGAGCAGTTAGAACAAAAGGCAAAAATCCAAATATGGCTGCAAGCTAACCATTGGAGTCTTGTGCAGTCCTTAGAACAAGAGTTCTCTACTGCTTGTATGATCAAGTCTCTCTCCTTTTTTTTTTTTTTAATGCAAATTCACACTGAAAACCAGGGTGGCCCTAGCCTGACTGAGGGAAATCACAGAAAGCTTAACTGCTCTTGTCTGCTTTCTTGGTTTTAGCAAAAGGAGGGGAGAATGTGGAAACTGGCATTCGATGGCGTGAGGTCTTGAGAATAGTGACTGTTCATCCCACCGCAGACTCAGAGACCTAGAATGTTAGAACTGGAAGGAAACATTCTTCCCATTTTACAGATAAGCAAACCAGAATTCTGAATTAGAATGTTTGATTCAAGTTCACACAGTGACAGGGCTAGACCTGGAAGCTAAGGCTCCTGTTTCCAAACTCATAGATTTTTCTCCCATTATTCCTTTGCATTTTCTACCATGAACATTATCTTTATGTATATAACAAGCAATGAAATATGGAGTAAAAGCATTATAGGGTTCTATTTACAACAAACAGTGTGGAAGATCATGCTGGAATTCTGAAACACACACATATCTGTTGGAGCTCATTTAAGTTTTCTAATTGAGCAAATTATCGATCAATTGTTCCCATTAGTCATGTACTTCAGGCAAATTTAATAGAGCTTCTGAGACTCAGGTGCTGGGATTGTTAGGTGCTTGGACTGAGACAAATAGGGACAATTTGGGTTCAGGAAAGAGAGTGAAGAAGTGTTTACTTTCACTTATTTTGGATACAGGATCTAGACTGAGCTTTTGTGTATACCCTGGATAAGTACATTTTGTTCCAAATATGAAAAAACAACAAAATCCTTGATTACTTGGGGACAGGAGAAAAAAAGATCTGACTGAAACATACGAAAAACAAAAACAGCATCAGGGCAAGTGGAGGTAAGAATCACTTAAGAATCTCTCCGAAGGAGAAAGGGACTCTTTAAAGGCCAAGTTCCTGAAATCAAATCAGGAAAAGTTATCTTTTAGAGTGACATTGGCCTCCATCCCCATTTGATTCTTCCTAAAAATGGTAAATGGCATAATCTGTGCTCAAAAGTCCATGAAATGAAGAGGGCTAAGAATTCCAAAGGAAAGTCCTAACTTTCTCTGTAAGTCTAGTATGGCTCCTGGGTCGTTGGCCAAGGAGGGGTGACTCGTGCTGAAGGACAGCAGCATTCTGGGAGGTCCTTAGCAGAAGAAGCTGGCAGGAAAGGAATTCATGGCTGAACCCACCATGCACGCACCAGTCACTGGAGTGCCACAGTGGGGCTCATGTTTGACCGCTTGCTCTCTCTCATTCCCCAGAGCCATTCAGGCTCCAGGCTGGGCTCATGGTCCTGCCTCACATGTTCCAAGGGCAGAGATCAGAGATGTTTTTACTTCTGCATCTCTAGAGTCTAGCAGAACGCTCCACACATAGAAGGTTTTTATTTTTTAAATGTTTGTTGAATGAATATTAAACAAGGGAAGAGCAGGCAAGGAAGCTGATGTCTAATGAGTAGGAGCAACATGTCATGGGCAGTACGGCAGTGAATCTCCTCAGATGGTCTCATCAGGCTGAGACCCGGGGCAGACAATGGTCACAGGGAGGCTGATCTGGTGTTCTAGGGTAGGGCCTGAGACCATCTAGGGACACGTGTCTTGTGGTGGGTGCCATCTAAACCCTGCACCCGATCATGACCCAGCTCTGTGTCTTACTGCCTGGATGAGAAGTAGCCAGAGACATGCTTCTTGGTAGACAAAGCTACGTTGGTGACTTTGTGGGCCCCAGAAGTCAAATCAGGCCCTACAGTTTCCCTGGCAACACTGTCTACCAAAGGAACCATTTTATGTTAACTGAAAGTCTCATCCATGACTAAGCCAGAGAGAATGGTTACCTTTCATGCTGAGCTATTTTTGATGCAATTAGTTGGTCTTTAACTTTGAACAATAGGTCTGGATTCTATTTCCATGACAGCCATCTGTTTTAAAGGACTTAAGGAATTACAGACAAGGAGGAGGTAGGGAGATTGGGCCCATGTATAACTCTGAGGTTCTTACTACCTCCTAAGTAGAGAAGTAGAGTGTGTACCAAGGATTACAAATGTGGCATTATTGTTATTATTATTAGCTTGGTTTCTTATGCAGCTCTCCTGAAGCGTACCTGAGGATAGATTCAGCCTAATCTGTTGGTAAATACTATTGTTCCTCCCCTTACTCACCCTGTGACCTTGGACTAGTTATTTAACGTCCCCGAGCCTCACTTTCTTCATCTGTACAATGGGGATAAAAATAGAACTGACGCCAATGGGTTGTTTATGAAGATTGAATAGGTTAAATATAGAAAACACAACAGTGCCTGGCATGTGATATATGCTGGATAAATGTTATCTATTGTGTTGCCATTATTATTGCAGATTTACTGTGTCTATATGCATTGCCCCATATCACTTATCCAAACCTCTGGGTTCCAGATGTATTTTGGAAGGAAGAATTTTTCAGATTTTAGAGAAGTAAAATAATACATCCATTATTTGTTGCACAAATACCCTTAGTGGGGTCTGTAGGGTAGCCTAATAGTCTAAAATATTAATATTTCTTCAGCAAACAAATGTTCATATTCAGTGGAGTGAATGAAGACTATAAAGATCATCATGTAAGTTCAGGTCATGTTACTAAATGAGTTTTCACCAAACAGGAAGTTTGTGGATTTCTGACTGTAGAAATAGGAAAGGGGACCTGCACTAGTTCAATGGCATTTTATGGTATGCATTTCCATGGTATGCAAAGCGCAAACTGTGGATTTCTTGGAATTCAAAACAACAGTAACAAAAATAAAAATAAAACACAAGTCAAGTGTCTACACACTTACCTCTGCATATTCATGGAAGGGGGAAATGCCAAGCGCCTTCCAGTAGGATTTGGTGTCTAGCACCACTTTGTATATTCCTTCTACAAATTTATCAGTAGTTGTGAGCCCGTGGAGCTCTCCAAATTCACTGGTTTTCCTAAAAGGTGCAAAGGTTCAGTTTA